TCCCAATGAGGAGTCTACAGACTTTTCTCCCTAAACCTTTGGAACAAGAAAAACACGTCCATCCTCGAAGACATATAAGCCTAACCCCAAAGGGAGGGGACTGGTTTTTAACTTCATCACTTCTACGTACCACTGCTGTTCTTAAATTACTGTTTCAATAAAAGTTCAAAACTCCGATCGTCGTGTATTTTACAACGAACTGATTCTCCACAAATCCTCTCACATCAAGTCAGTACTTCATCTGGTAAGATTTGCTCTGGTTTAATTACCCAAAGTTTAGCTCGACAGCAAAAGATATCTGGCAGTCATCGCGCTTTCACGACAATATCATTAGAATATGAAAAAAATTATAAAAATTTTTAGACGAGAAAATACTTTCACTAACTTTGGAAATGAAAAAGAATAGAAAAAGCAAATAAAAAACATACAATTAGAACCATTATTTTTTCACTTGAAAATAGTCGAATCTAATTGTTAAAAATCAAACACATGAAATTTAATGTTAATTGACAATTTAAACTGTAAAATTGAGATGATGTCTAGCACTTGATAGAAAAAATTTAAAAGATTGCCTCGTTAACTTCAATACTCATATATCAGCAAAGATATAGACAATTAAAACATAACGAAGCACAGAAAGAGGTTTCGAATCATTCTTTTAGTACTACAACTGATATTATGATATGGAGGGCAAAAGAGGTGATTTATGCTGATTGAGGGTAGCAACTATCAAGTAGCGCTTGTTAAACTGTGTAGTAGGTACTTGCAAAATGCAATTAAAGGTATCAAAATGAGAAATAGATAGAGAAAAAAATTTTGTTTTCCGTTATTCAATAAAAGAAGATTGAAATTGGAATGGAAATGACATTCACCGAACTGGTTCATGTAGAAAAATATCTGCGATATAGTGAGGAGAGACGATGAAGCTAATGTATCATTTTGGAAATCGCAAATGGTAAGATTGAAATGAAGCAAAAAAGTTCCAAAAGTTCTCATGAGGGAGCGATGTCTTGAAATGTTATTTGGATCCAGTTTCAGAAATCATTTTCTTCTTTGCAGAGAATGGCTAAAATGTTCGAAACGGATAAATTGGGAATTTTGTTAAAATATGATAAGCAGTACCACTGGAATAATGTGTGACTCTATAATAAACTACAAGTAATATAAATTATAACCTTACGAAATGAAGACGAAGATAATTTGACATTCCGTTTCAAAACTGATAAAATTATTATTGCTTCTTTGAGCATGTCCATAAAAAATAAGGCTTTGGAAAACAGAAAAGATTAAATACAAACGTTAAATAGAACTTACATTTATCATCGTGTACGATTTCAATTACAAATATAAATTATAAACGTTAAGTATAGTTCTTACAAAAAAAAAATTAAGAGTGCATGTATGTGTACGTGTGTGTGTGTGTGTCTGTATGTGTGTGTATGTGTGATATTTTATTTCTATTAATTTTGATGTAAAATTGAAAATTTAATTTTAAACTGTATAGAATAATTGTTTGAGAAAGGGCAAGAATCGATATAAAGACGAATTATTGCGATATAATCAGCGATTACATAAAATTATTCCGCGAACACAGCAGATCCCTCTAGGCATGACTTCTATACTTTTGCCATCATACTTTGTTTCTCTTCACAGCCTTCAGGACACATCTACAATGATATCGTGCCTGTGCACCCGCTATTCATCCATTGTAATATAGGTGGAAGAATATATGCAGAGTTAAAGTAGCATGTGCCTCAAATGCCATAAAAGTAATGCAATGTTTTTTAAGGCCAATCCAAGCGAATACAGGTATAAAAGAAAGAACACAGGAATAAAAGCACCTAACAATTACTGATCAATGCATCGACCATTTTATTTAGTCATTCAGCCTTCTTAGTCATTTTGCCCACACCTATACCAGCACCGAAATATTTCTTCTTATTTAGTCCTCCGCTTCCAATCTGAACGAAAAAAAGCTTGTTGAAATAATTTCGATGAAAAAAAAAACGGATAAATAACAATCGATTCGACTCCAGTTAATTTCACTTCACTAATTTTAGCTATCCAAAAAGAAACGATAAAAAAAGGAAAATTTGTATTTTTTTTAACCATAAAATTTATTTCATGACGATGCATCACTGATAGATATTTTTCATTTCATAATAAAGATTGGATAAAGAGAAATTTGAAGCTTACAGTTTCTGCTGGTTACGTTTCGTCTTGCATTCACCGAATATGATTATAATCACAAGCAAGAGAATAATAATGATAATCACCAGTAATGGCCATAACCATGCTAATTCACCTGTATAATATATTACATTTTGATACACAATAATTTAAACAAATATACTGTTTGGAATGTAATTCTGAAGGTTTACTTTTAACTCGTAACATCCGGGCCAGCATTACTTGATGTGTTTCTGGACGACCATTCACAATATATTCATTTGTTGCCATACATTCATATACACCTTTATCACTATCACGCACTCCATCAATCAATATTCTCCCATCATTTTTGATATTCATACGATTGTCTTTTGTGGCTAAATAATGAATAAGAATAATGTCATATGAAATTAATATTAAAACACTCTTATGAAGAATGTTAATTTGAAACAATTCACTCTCCAAGTAGATAAAAAAAAAATGGTTCAGATGTAAGAATTTTTCATTCATAAAAACAATTTCGATTATTAGAAGGAAAAAAAAGTTGAATATTTACTAAATTCTTTCCCATCTTTTGTCCAAGAAAATCGAGGTAAAGGAAAAGCAATCACTGGGCAAGTAATTTCAGCTGAAGAGCCTCGAACAACTGTAACGCCATTACCATCGAATGAAAACGGATCATTCTTTCGTGGTTCGAAATGTCCGGTATCTGTTAGGACCACAGGTCGAACTGAAAAAATACTAAAAGTTGAAGAAAAAAAAATTTGAGTTATCAAGTTATCAGCTATCAGCCTTGTTGATTCAAGTTATCAGCCTTGCATGGCTGGTAAAAAGCATTCATGCGTTTTTTTTTTTGATAATAACGAAGTGTAGCTACTGAAAAGCGGTTTCAGACATATGTATTTGTTAAAACCATCAATAGTATTGCAGTACTTTATGATTTTAACGTAACTATTTAGTGGAAAAATGGAACCCCTGCCAACCAATTGCTTTATCCAACGCATTTTCTCCTTCTTCTCCTAACTAAACCGAATCCCTCGGGTAAATGAATGAGAATGCCCTCGCAAAAATATTAAATAAAAATTGCATGAAGAAATTCGTTGTAACTTACAGATTAGTTGTGAGTTGCAAGATAAAAGCAAAAATTTTTAATAAAAAAAACACCGAACACTTGATGACTGCCACTGACACTCAATCCATTAGCTGTCGTCAACCGGCATGTATAACTACCAGAATCAGCAACATCAGCAAGACCAAAATGATAATAAGCGCGTTTATTATCACTGCTTATATCTGCTTTAAGCACCATACCATCTCGTTTTCGTACAAATACCGCCGATTTGATTTGTACTACTGCCCCTCGATCTTCCGCCTGAAAACATTGCTATGGATTCAACAATTTATTCCATTACTTCAATATGATTCCTCGCTAAGACAGGTAGACATTTATAGCAAAAAATAATTAAATGTGCCTTCCCATTTTATTCTGTATTGAATTTTCATTTTCTTTTTAACAGATGGTGAGATCCTCAACCATTAGCAAATATATTTCACTTTTACAGTAAATTAATTGAGTTTTCGAAAGTTGAACACTGATTTCAAAGTTAGATAATGAAAAAAAGTTGATTCGCTATTTAGATAATTATAAATTTGCATATAAAATTGTAACAAAGAACAAACCTGACACCATAAGGTAACATTTTCCTGTGAACGAAGAGGATTATGAGTTGAAGTTCGTGCAGATGAAACCATAATGACAGAGTACGGATTACCTTTTGCTTGAACTGCTCGAGAAAATCGTTGCATAAATAATACAAATAATTGCATAATAATTAATGATAATTTAGTGTGTAACGATATATCCAACCACATCTTTTAAAACAATTTTATCTGAAAAGTAACAGGGTCATAGATGTATATGAAAGAGATGTAAATTCACTTTGATTTGATCAACTTGACACAGTAGAAATTTGAATGCAAATACACGTTATTGAATAAATGAAATTATGCAAAAAGTAGAAGAAAAAATAATGCAATCGGAAAGATACCAATACGAAGTATATCACCTTAAGACATACAATGTGAGATTTCATAAATAAATAAAAATGTTGGTACGGAATAAAAAAAAAATGCAAATATAATTTGTAAGAAAACAAATTTCAAGCAAATTAAACTTCTTATCATTTTAATGGGTTACCGTAATTCATCGACCATTAACATGAGAGGACAGTTATAGATATTTAGTGGTGAAACTTTTCCAGCTTATGATTAGCAAAGAAATGATGTGTGAAATGGCTCTCTTTGGATGAAATGAATTCACATGTTATGTGAACAAATTGCTCAGTTAAAATCTCAAATAAACTCGAGAATCGTACGTAAAAAAGAAGTTAGTTGCTCGTAATGGTTCACGTTAATATAAATGACAATGAAATATCTTTAAAAATAAAAGTATGAAATAACTGAAAATCCTACTTCAAATATCGTTTCACTCAAACGCTTCAGATAATTCGGATCTCAAAAGTGAAACCTGAATATATCTATTCATTAAAACAATTCCCAATGTTGATTAAACGACTTACTTTGCTTGTAAGTTTGAGTCCATCAGATAGTCATGAATAAACGAACATATTAATTAAATTAAATCTTATATTTTCAAATCAAACTGCAAGGAAAAAATAAGAAACCAAAAGGTTATATCGACAATGAAGTAAAATGTCGATAGCGGTGATCTCAGAAATTTTATTCTATTTTGATGATCACTGTGGAAGAAATGAGAAATTTGTGCCTGAGGATATACCTCTGATCCGGAAACGGAGAGAGGAAATTATATGAGAAGTGTATGAGTGTATAGATTTGGTTTCCAGTAAGAAATAGATGATGGATTCGAAGAAATATATGAATAATTGAAGAACACAGTAACTTAAGAGTAAACCGGAAGCAATGCAGGAAAAGTTATGAGCAAATCGGAAGCGTAATGAAATTAATTACTCAAAAATCATTTGTGAAAATTCTGTTCCATAGGAAAAGTTAGTTAAATCTTACAACTTGTAACTGTCCTATCAAACTTGAACTCATCATGTCTTCCGATTTCCTTTTAAATCTTCTTGTCTCATAATAGCTGAGGAGTAGAATGAAAGGCTGACAGAATCTAAAAGAAGTGATAGGAAATAATTAACTTCTTTGAAGTGAGTTACAAGTAAACTAGCGTTTGTCGACGTCGATTAAAACTTCGTAATAGCCTGGCTATTACATGCTAATTTAAACTAAGGCTGATTATACCATGCTCACTTACCACTTAATCATTATGGCACAGTAGTAGATTTTGTATAACGATGGACGAATAATATTGGAGAAATCAACAGATAAATTTCTGATCTGATGAGGATGATATTTTGAAGAAAAGAAAGGGAGAGGAGGGAAAGTGATGAGGTGGAGATAATGATTAGTGATTGGCAATAATGGAGATGGGGACCAGAAGAGAAGTATTACTACTGTTGTGGCTCAATAATAAATGTTCGAAGTCACGAGGCCAAGTGAACTTGGATCAACTGCTACAAAGATTGATGTGATAATTGATGACCCTATGCCCATCGGTCAGGCTCTTCTTTTTCTTCCTCTCCGATGTCCAGTTGGCTGTCAGCACTCTTTGTTGGTCAATTTCTTCCTTTCTTTCGTTTTCTACCTTTTGCCTCTTCTTCATTCCATCACTCTCTTCACTCTTCTCCAGTCCTTTGGCACATAATTTTTACATACCCACACACATACACACACATACACATGCACACACAGACACACAGACACACACATACACACATAGACACACACATACACACACATATACACACATATATACACATATACACACACATACACACATACACACACAC